TGAAGCAGGACCAAGGTACCTCTCCACCCCCACACCCCTGTGTCTAGGTTGGGCAAGGTATCTCTCCATATAGAATGGGCTCCACTAAGTCAGTTTGTGCATTAGAGTTAGGTCTTGGACCCACTGCCAGTGTCTTTATACATTGCCCCAGTCGAACCATTGTCGAAGTGCTTAGTCTTACTGCAACTTGATATGCCATGTTTTGTTGATGTCCATGGGAGACCTGCCCTTTTCTGAACAGAAATGGAGAAGTGGATTGGGGGGTGGGAACAGAAGGGTGTTGGGGGGAGGGATTGGATGGAGAGGAGGGAGGGGAAACTGTGCCTGGTATGTAAAATAAACAAATAAAAAAATGGCAAATGAAATAGAGAGAAAATATCAGCTAAGAGAGGATTTAATTCTTTAATTAGTAGTAGTTAAAAAAGAATGATTTAATAGAGAAACAGGCACCTGGAAGAACAGAGAACTAGCAGATAAGGAATTGTTATATGCTTAAAAACACTTTCATACTAATAAGGAACTATTTTTGCATATCAATTTGATAAAATTATGACAGAAGTTAAAAGCTTAGCCTAGAGCCACAGTTCAGGGTTGAAGTGCTCGTCTAGCAGGCAAAAGGCCCTGAGTGTGATCCCAGACACTACCAGGAAACAACAAAATCTGTACTGTAGGGGTGTAGTGGTTGGGCTTCACTCTCAATGAGAGAATTACAGTTTTATCTATCCAGACTCAAATCCAGAATAAAATCCAAGTTCATCTTGGCTCAGGGATTGCATTTAGTCATGTTCTCTCACAAGTCAGACAGAGAGTAAAGAAAGCTCATGGTAGCCAAGCAGAGTCAGGCACTTTTCTTTGAGTAGGTGTAAGTCCGTCAAGGCACACAAGTGGTCAGGCTCCTCCCCTGAGGAGCTCCAACTGCCGGCTTCCACCCACAGAACACCCTAACTGTCCTAATGGCTGGATCCAGTTCCTGACCTACAGAATAAAGAGCCCAAGCTCAGGACTTGAAATCCCACCAATTCCTGAGCTTGCCCCAAGCTCAGGACTTGAAATCCTACCAATTCCCACCCTCCAGGGTTTTTCTCTCCCGAAAATCTCTTGTGTGAGGTTTGTTGTGAGGTGTGATTTTGTGGTATTCCTTGGCTCCTGACTGCCAGGATACCTTTCTCCTCAGAGCTGTAACACTTACACCAGGTGAATGGATAAATAACCTGACATTAGAGTATTAACTGTCTTTGAGAAAGGCAGACCTCAAAGTGCTGTAAGAAAAATTGTCTTGAAGTATTAGTTATAATTACATACTATACATATGCATATGCATATACATGTATATTTAAGTGAATTAAGAAACCTAAGGCTATGTATGTTTTGGAACAGTGATTGCATTCCAGCTGACTTTTGAAATTTCATACCCATGCATGTATTTATTTATTTATTTATTTATTTATAATATCAACTTGTTCTCTTTGTCTATTGATCTTGAATGTATAAGCTACTTTTTTCTTTATAACTTTGTCTTAAAAAGCTACACACACTGGGTGTTGGTGGCACACACCTTTAATCCCAGCATTTGGGAGGCAGAGGCAGGTGGATCTATGTAAGCCAGCTTGGTCTATAGAGCAAGTTCTAGGACAGCCAAGGCTACACAGAGAAACCCTGTCTCAAAAAACCAAAAACAAAAGAAAAATGACATAAACAAAAAACAAGCTAGCTACCATATGCCATTAAAATAATGAAAAATGCTTTTTCTTCATTGCATATTTAATGAGGTACATTTCTATGTTGCATGTTTATATCCATCCATAAGTATAGAATCCTACCCAAACATCCCTACCCCAACATGCAGTAAATTGTTCTATTGCTACATGTGACTACCAGAATGATGCAACAAGTTGCAGCCTCTTAAGTGTTCTTTTGGTTGTCATTTTTAATTACAAGCATCAGCAAGAACTGGTATCTATTAGTGTGTACTATTAATAACTAGTACATATTAATGACTTCATGGTGACTTTTTCATATATTCATCTTTTCTGCTTTGATCATGTTAGCAATCAGGTAGGATTCTGCCAGGGCTCTGGTTGTTGTAAGGGCGTCAGCCTGAGGCTAGCCTCTGCAGCCCCTTTCTTATGAACACGAGTTATTGAGTTACCTCAGACTGGCAGAAACTTTTTGTCCTGTTTCCTGGCTTAAGAAACACTTCCTTGGAATCTATTTCAAAGAGTGATTTTGTTTCTGTAATTACACCAGGGACTCAAATGCTATTCCACCTGCATTTTCCTGGCTGATCTCAGGGAGCACACTCACCTGGTCACACTGACATTTGCTCTCTGCATGTCCACTGACAAGCACACAATGGGAGGGAGATGGTAATGGCAGGCTGGAGAATAAAGGCGCCAAAGAGTTCACTTTAGTTCAAAGTATCAGAAGTTAGAATCTGAGGCAGTTTGACACTGTCTTCATTGTGTGACTGAGGACTCCGATTTGCTGATTTTCAGGCAGCTTTTGGTGTGAATTTGTCCACTGCATACATGTTGTGTATTAGAAAGGTGAGATGGACTGAAATCAGTAAAGTTTTTTCACAGTAACATTGGCTTAAAGATTATATCTCTAGCAATAGTGGAGAGGCTACCTTAAAAGCTCTTCCCCTATAATGAGAGTGATGACTACCTGATATGCTATCCTGGAGCCTTCATCCTGTAGCTGATGGAAGCAGAAGCAGACACCCACAGCTAAACACTGAGCTGAACTCTGGAATCCAGTTGCAGAGAGGAAGGAATGAAGAGAAAAGGGGTCAAGACCACGCTGGAGAGACCCATGGAGATAGTGAACTGAACAAGGGAGAGCTCATGGACCCCAGACTGATAGCTGGGAAACCAGCATAGGACTGATCCAGACCCCTGAATGAGGATGTCATTGGAGGCCTAGACAATCTATGGGGTCTCTGGTAGTGGATCAGTATTTACCCCTACTATACAGATGGATTTTGGGAGCCCATTCCACATAGAGGGATAATCTCTCAGCCTAGACACACGGGGAGGGTCTAGGCCCTGCTTCAAATGATACAACAGACTTTGAAGATCCCCATTGAAGGCCTCACCCTCCCTAGGGGGCAGAAAGGGTATGGGATAGGCGGTCAGTGGGGGCAGGGGAGGAGGGGAGGGAGAAAGAACTGGGATTGACATGTAAAAGAAGCTTGTTTCTAATTAAAATTTTTAAAAAAGGAAAAAAGATTGTATCTCGTTCTCCCATCACTTCCTAATCCCATTGTCTGTGCACTTCTTTCAATTCTGAGAATTTAAGGTTAGGGCTGTGTGTAACTCAGGGGCAACACATTTGCTTAGAATGCACAAGACCTTGGGTTCAAGTCCTGGTACTGAAAAGATAGTTCAGGCTCTCCACATTACTGAAATTCTCTGGGAAACTTCTTGTCAAAAGATTTGACTACCTTAGGTTGAGGAGTTTATTCCATTTCCCCAAAGCAATTTAAAGAATGAGATATTTTAACACACAAAGCATTGATCTTTAGAAGCAATACTTTTGTAGCCTGTGTGTATTCACTTGATTGAGTGTTGTGCAGCAACAAAGGGAAAGTGGCATTCTCAGATGGGACCAGGGAATGTGGCACTATCTCCTACAGGAATGCTGGAGAGATGAGAAAAATGAAAAGGAGTTGATTTGTTGGAGCATAGGAAATGGGGGTGAAGTTATTTACTTCTTTTACTTCCTTAATAACAATTCTGAAATTGAAAAAGAATCTTGGAAATGGAAAGGAACAGAATCCAGGACAGGTGAGAAAGATGAACAGGTGACATTATGGATTTGGCTCCCAAGGCAAGTGAGCTAGGGCTTCTCTCAGGCTGTGCCACAACAGATCCTGGGAAAAGGTTTTTCCATCAGGCTGTGTCAGTTCCTCAGTTATTTTGTGTTATGTGAAAGTGGCTTCTTCAGAGGTGCCCTGCCCTGAGAGACTCAGAGTGCAATGCAGAGGTGGGCTGATGACTCTGCACCTTGCCAGAGGCATAGAGAACACCTTTCCATTGCCACCTACAGGGCACAGTCTGATAAATAACTGCTAAACACAGAAATGTACTACACTATAAATTTATCAAAGTAAATCAGGCTTGTAAGAATATACACAGAACACAATAAAGCTGTTTCAGGAAAACCAGGCCTGAGAATTTTCTGGATACACCAGCTAGACCCTGGAAAGAAGAGGACACATAAGTGGTGACAGCTCTACCAATCCATCACACCCAACTACTTGGTGTGCGTGTCAAGGGACCAATCGGCAGAGAAGTCTCAACTGTCCTAGGGTCTTCAGCATGGTCTCAGTCCCTATTGTTCACGTTGTTGCTGTCTATCTGTTCACTGGCTCATCTCTTTGGACCCTATCTTGCCTCTCATCTCTACAGCCTCCAATGTCCTGTAACTTGCACTCCTGTGGATCAACTCTGACCCTAAAGCCTGCCTCTAAGGGGCAACTGCAATGATGTTTCAGACAGAGCCCCTCCCCCAGTCATACCTTGTTCCTTATGCTTGTCCTCATCTTTTCACATCTTTTTCAGACTCTGCCTCAAGCCTCATTGAAATTCTTTGAACTCTCTTGAGGCTTATAACTCCTTTGTAGCCATTCTGTAATAAGCACAGAGATATATTTACTATGTATTTATATGATGTGTAATGTGTGATCTGATATTAATTTTGGTAATTTACATTGGCATGAAAGAACCCGTGTTTGTCTTGGACGGCTGTCAAGGAGAGTGGGATTTCTTGGCATATTGTTGTCAATGAGACCACTATATCTTGTGAATTTGTTGTTATTCGATACATCTGACAGAGATTTATCTGTGTTTCTGACATAGCTCACATAGTTCACAAATAGGGGCAACAGTGACTTTCTATAAAAGTAACCTGGCCTGGCTGCCCACCATCCTTCAAGTGGAGGGACTATTGCAGTACCTGGAAATGTGTTCAGAGTTTTGTCTTTTATGTTTTCCCAGGTTCTCTCCCTTGCCGAATTCTTCTGGCCTTGTATTCTCTTCATGATTCTGACAGTGCTTCGTTTTCAAGAACCCCCCAGACACAGAGATAGCTGTAAGTTTCATTCTGAAAACAATTTTTAAATGCGAATGTTCAAAGAAAAAACATCCACCCTTTTCTCTATTCTTTATCCACATTGAATTCTCAGTGGCGCAAGTGACCAGGGCTCTATTATGACAACAGCAGTATACTAGAAGAATGTGCCAGGAAGGGACAATTCAGGGTTCTTCACCACTTAAGAATGATATTAATAGATCTTTGCTCAATCTAGCAAATAGGTTTATCCTGGGTTGAACTGATAGGGCCTTGGGTATATAAACTGTTGGTCCATTTAGGAAGAGTTAGAAACAGAGGTAAGGGAGGTGCCTTTCATTTTAACATGATACGATAGTGGTGATGACAGAGATGCAGGAGGTGGATACTGTGGCTGATGGTGGAGGTTCACTGATAAACTTACAAGAATTTCCCATTCTCCAGAAATGTGGCCAGTCATGTCACTTTGTCTGTATGATTTGAAAGCTCAGTAATGATACCTCTTGAGAAATGGTGATCTGTTTTGCTTTGACTATGCCACTTCAAATGTGTAGTTTGTTTGACTTTGCAAGCTTCCCATGGAAAAGTGGTTATTAAATGTTGGAATTTATCTGAAATATGTCTTCAATAATAACTAGGTTCTGCATATTGAAAAGGGAATGAGTCTAATGACTCATTTGTGCTTTGGTGGGTGGTGTTGTATATTATAGAAAACAGTGAAACGGGTTATTATAATTTCAGTTATAAAGATCTGAAAATCTTTTGTAGAGCTTTTAAATTTTAGTATTTTATTTTATTCATTCAGCAAACATATATCTAGGGCCTTTTATTCCCTCAAAGAACTTTTTAGAAGGCTGTTGTATTAGAGTACAGCGAGAGAAGTATCATAAGGGACTCCATATAAGAACAAATATACTCAAGGTTGGAGTCCTCAACCTCCAAACCACAAGATTCCCACTGGGGTGGCCTCCATTCTGGATGGGTTCCTGAGAAGGGATACAGAACCAGCTAGAGAAATGCATCTTTTTTTTAACTGATGTATCACTCCTAATTTCTATATGATCTTCTAAAACATTATGTCCTGTGTTTGCTAAGAATTTCTCCATCCCTTAAGCAGCAAACACATTCATTTATTTTTTCATTCATCCATTCTCTGATTCTTGTTTGTTTATTCATTCAGTCATCATATATTTAGTGAATGTCTTCTGTGTGAAGAACATTGTAGACAGAAGTTTCTGTCCCATCTAGTCCCTTGGTCGTTTGTTTCCAAATACACACACAGAGGCTTATATTAATTACAAACTCTTTGGTTGATGGGTCAGGCTTCTTATTGGCTAGCTCTCTCTTAATTATTAACCCATTTCTGTTAATCTGTGTATCTCCACATGGTTTTTGCTTACCAGAGAATGCCCAGGTATCCTACCTTTCCAGTAGCTACATGGCATCTCCTTTGTGACTCACTCTGCATTCCTCCACCAAGAATTCTTCTAGTTTGGTAGTCCCACCTGCCTGGCTACATCCTGCTTGTCCATTGGCCAAAACAGCTTTACTCATCAACTAATAGGAGAAACATGTATTCACAATATACAGAAGGATACCCCATCAGAACATTGTGCTAAATTCTAGGCATAGTGGGTCTTCAAGTTCAGGTGAAGGAGATCATCTCCCAGAATCAAAGTGGATATCAGGGGGAAAGCTGTTCCCTAGATGAGCCACATAGATTAGTGGCTTCCCAGTTGCCTGTCATTGCCGTTGTCTCCATGCCCTGTCCACCTGTGCATACAAAGGGCAGATAGGGTTGGGGCATGTGTCACCAGCACTTTGTTAAGATGTTGGCTCATTATACACTATAGGAGTATTTTCCTGAAAATTCCCCCTTTCTTCCTTCCTTCCTTCCTCCCTCCCTTCCTCCCTCCCTCCCTCCCTTTCTTCTTTCCTTCTTTCCTTCTTTCCTTCCTTCCTTCCTTTCTTCCTGCCTTCCTGCCTTCCTGCCTTCCTGCCTTCCTGCCTTCCTTCCTTTTTTCCTGTCTAAATTGCAGTACTGAAACCTGCCCTGAATAGCTGAATGGATGGAGCTCATGGGTACTTTAAGTAGTTAGAGAAGTGCCCTCCAAAATGGAGGAACTCATCAATATAAACAGTTATGGGAGAATATTGACCAAACCACTAGATGAAAACACATAGGCTCAGGAGGCTTCTCCCTTGACTGGTTTTATCCTCATGAATTACCAGACACATCAGAAGAAGGGTCTAGTTGTTAAAAAAAAAACTGTATAGCATTTAATCAGAGCTCCTTCTGGGCCTCTGGAAAGTTGAGCTACCAGTGCAGGCTTCTGGAAGGTGCCAACTCACCCAGTTTTTCCTAGTGGCACATGTAGCCAGCCTGGCCAGAACTCCACCATTGGGTGTCCTCCTGCTTGATGCTTTTTTTGGTCATTAAGGCATGTGTCTGTCCATCAATTTTTCGATTATTTATTTTTCTGAAGTTGCCTAATTAATTTTCTCCTTTCCTGAAAACCAAAGGCACATTTCCATGGCACAGCCCAAGAACCAAGGAAGCTGCAACATCTCCACCCCATTCCATGGTTTCATCAAATATCCAAAGACCAACATAAAAGTCTCTATCGCTCAGTTTCCCATCTCCACCCCATTCCATGGTTTTACCAAATATCCAAAGACTACCATAAAACTATACATCTCTCAATTTTGCTTGTCCCAAAAATCTCTTTGTAAGTACTAGCATATAACTGCCTATCTCTAGATGCTACCTGTTAACATATAACTACCTAACTATAGATTCTATCTACTAACATGTAACTTCCTGTCTCTAGATTCTATCTGTTAACATATAACCACCTAACTACAGATTCTACTTATTAACATGTAACTGCCTGTCTCTAGATTCTATTAACATATAACCATCTAACTATAGATTCTAACTATTAAGATATAACTGCCAACTTCTAGATTATTCTTATGAATACATGGTTGCCTATCTTGAAATGCTCCCCAGTTATTCCTTTATTTGTTCTGTTACCCTTATTTCTTTATTAGCGTGCTTCTCATAAGAGCCATTCCCTTTCTAATCAATTTGAGTTCCCCATAGTCAGTGTCTACTGTTGGGCACCACTTGCCACATCCTGCACATTTCCAGGAACTGACCTAACTGGGACAGCAAGAGAATAAAGAAAGGACAAAAGGGTACATGGACACAGAAAATCTAGGTTCTCATGGTCTAGGTTCTTGGATGGAGAAGCTACTTGTCCCTCACATTATATGCAATTGGACTGGGAGCCAGGGTCACTGCACATAGCACCCTACTTTGGATAATAGGTGTCAGAACTAATTTCTTCCTTGTGTTTATATCCAGGTTACTTGCAAGCCCGGGATCTTCCCAGCCAGGGTGTTTTCCCTTTTGTTAAAGGACTGCTTTGTAACACTGGCTCAAGTTGTAGGAACATCAGCTTTGAGAGTTCCATGGATCACCATTTTCGGTATGAGAAATACAAATATCCTTTTCAGAATTCTTAGGATGGTTTTACATGCTACCCACCTTTCCTCAAAGCCTCCAATCTCTACAATGTCACGTGATTTTTATGCATGATTAGTAATCTGGGATGTGTCAGGGACAATGAAAGGCTAGAACTCAGAGTTAAAAACAAATGTTTTATTGCTTGGAGTCACATAACAGTTGCTCTTACTGATGTCCACTGTTATCTCTAGACTCATAGCATGTTAAATGCTGGTGAGAAAAAAAATTCTATCTCCTTTTAGTTATTTTCTGTAGTTAAACTCTGACTTCAAAATTCTTTGCTTAGTCAGTTTTTTCATTTGGGTGTAGTTGGAAAATGAGTGGTTTGAGGGCTAGATGTTCTTAGCATGATTTGTGCCAACTTGTCATCACATGAAAGAACAGCCAGGGACCACTTTCCTCTTGGCACTAACCTTCCTCAGATGCATGACGGCTTTACTCGGCTTTACTCTGCTTTCTCGGATTCTCACAATGCTGAGCTATGCTGAGATAGCCCATGGCCTTATTTTGTATCATTAATCAAGAGACAAAGCAGGAGTTGGTTTAAGTGACAAGGCTCAAAATGAAGAGGTGTAACTCAGAGAATGCAAAATGTTCTGGGAACTGCTCTCAGGTAGAATAAAGAATGGAAGAAAATGACTAGCTGATCTTCATGTTTGAACTTATCAGATTGAATGATGTAGAGTTGAATTCATGCTTGTTGCAATTAAACAGTTGAAGATTTTAAAACATGAAGCAAATGTTAAAACAGAAGATATTTACCTTTCAAACTTAGGTTTTAAAATTTTATGTGTATGTTTTACCTGAACATGTGTATATGTACTGTGTGTGTGCCTGGTGCCAACAGAGGCAGTTAGATCCCCTGGAACTAGAGTTATAGATGGTTGTGAGCTACCATGTAAGTTCTGGGAACCAAACCTAAGTCCTCTGCAAGAGCAACAGTGCTCTTTACTGCTGAGCCATTTCTCCACTCCCATCTTTCCATTTTAAACAGAATCTTTCCAGACAATTTTAGACAATAATGGGTACAATAATTGTAAGTGGTGTTGTTTATATAACCAAATGTCCTAAACTGAATATTTTTGTAGAAACTCATAAAAAGTACATACTGATTTCTCATAGTTCTTGGTACCGGGAAGTTCAATACAGAAGTACCAGTGTTTGGTAAGGACTCTCTGCTCATAGAAACACTTTCTACTTGTGCCATCAAATGTCTTCCTGGAGCTCAGTTTACAAAAGCACTAATTCTGCTCACCAAGTTTCCTCCCTCATGACCAAATCTCTTCCCCCAAACTCCTAATATCTTAGGGACTGGGCATTAACAAAGTTATAGGGCAAAGATGCAAATATTGAGCCCTGTTCAGGTAATTGCTTTTCTAAGATAGGTGTATAAAAATAGAGGAGACTCTTTGGAAGCCACATAAATAATAATCCTGAAATGCCCCATGATCTCATCTTTGTCTAAGAATGAGAATCCAAGACTCTCAGGGTAGCACTGGAGACTGAGAGTTACCGTTATCCTCTTTCAGCTCTCCAATGTTGCCTTACTCAGAATAGAAAGTCAAGAAAATGTGGAAGTGGAGAGAATAGACTTCTGTAGCCAAACAAGTTATATAGTCTGGTTCTTGCACCTTCTGGTTTTTATAGTTCAGTGAAAAACTTATATTCTCTGTGTCCAGTGCCTCTCACCCTCCTAGCTCAGTGATGGTGAAGATTAAGAACAACATACAGAAGACTGTGACACAGAATCAAGCACTAGACTAGTGGGAGTTGTAATAAGTTCTTAGTAGCATGGACATACCTGTTACAAATTAAAAAAAAACCAAAATTTCAACATTCTGTCTGTCTGTCTGTCTGTCTGTCTGTCTGTCTGTCTGTCTGTCTGTCTGTGTGTCTCTGTCTCTCTCTGTGTGTTTGTATGCTCTCATGGTGAGCATGCAAATGCCAAAGGAAAATCTGAGGCAGTTGATTCTTTCTACTGTGTGGTTTCCTGAACTCTGAGCTATCTCACCAGCTCTTGTTTTGTTTCATCCAGTGTTCTACATGTATATATCCAATTTTCCCTGCTCAATTTGTTTAAGAGGATGTCTCTTTTCTAATGAGTATTTTTGACAATTTTGTCAAAAACTGGGTACCTATAGCTGTGTGAGTTATTTTTCGATCTTCAGTTCTAGTAAAGTAAATGCCTGGTTTCATGCCAGAACCCTACTATTTTGTACTATGTCTTTGTAATACAACTTGAAGTATAGTATGATGTTTTATGCTTTATTTATTTATTTATTTTGCTTAGGATTACTATGGCTACCTGAGGGTTTTTATGGTTCCAGATGAGTTGTAAGCTTTCTTTTTTTTCTACTTCTGTGATGAATAACATTAAAATTTTGATGGGAATCTTACTGTATCTATAACTTGTTCTTGGTAGGATGGCCATTTTCAAAATATGTAATCCACAGTGTGAGAGAACTTTCTAACTTCTAGTGTCTTCTTTAACTTCTTTTGAGAATTTTTTTAAAGTTTCCATCTTAGAGGTCTTTTACTTTCTTGGTTAGGGTTATTGCAAGGTGTTTTTTAAGGCTTCTGCAAATGGCATTATTTCCCTTATTTCTTTCTTAGTATGTTTGTCAGTATTATATAGAAATGCTTCTAATTTTAGTGTGCTAATTTAGTAGCCTGCCACATTGCTGCAAGTGTTTATCAACAGGAAGAGTGAAGTCTTTTAGAGAATTGTATCATTTGCTAATAAGGATACCTTGGCTTCTTCCTTTCCTATTTGTATCCTTTTGATTTGCTTTTCTTGTCATATTGCTCTAGGTGAGACCTCCAGTACTATATTGAGTAAGAGTGGAGAAAATAGACAGACACTTTATTCTAGATCCTGATTTTAGAGAAATTGCTTTCTTTCATTTTCCCCATTTAGCACACGGTTGGAGATTATATATATGTATATGATGTATATGTTTATGTATATAATGTACATGTATATTTATATATAAAATTTCCCCTTATTTTGCTAAAATGTGTTCCTTTTGTTTCCAGTTTCTTCATAAATTTTATCATGAAGAGGTCTTGTATTTTGTCAAAATCCTTTTGTATACTAAGATCATGTGCTTTCTGATCATATGTGATGGGTGACAGTTACTGATTTACATGTATTGAAATAAAGTCAACTTGATCATGATGAATATATCATCTTTCCATCATATGATCTTTTGATATATTCTTGAATTTGGTTTGAAATTGTTTGTTGAAAATTTTTGTATCTATGTTTGTCCGGGAAATAGGTCAACAATGTTCATTTTTGTTGTCTTTTTATCTAGATTTTATTATCACCAGGTTTATACTACCTTACTATGAGATTGGCAGTGTCTGTTCCTTTTTTTATTTTATGGACTATTTGGGGAAGTATTGGTGTTGGTCTGGTAGACTATTATTTTTTTCACTCTAAGAAATAACTAGTTTTTTGTCTGTGTGCTCCTCCATTTTAACACTCCCGTTCCAGTTTGCAGAAACTCAAGGATTATAAAGTCACCCTTGCAAGTGTTTATCTCCCATGTTCAAAACCATAGTCAGTTGCAAAATTCTCCAGTACTGCTAGGATTTTAAGAGCTTTAAATTTTAAAACTCCTCTTAGTATTGAGGAGAGCCAACTTAGAGGTGTGGGAAATATAAGATGAAAGCAGAAAGAACAGCATAAGGAGTGAGAAAAGAGTGAGCTGTGAGAAAGAAACAGGCTCGAAGGGAGAGCTTGGCTTTCAGACCTGCCCTGCCAGGCACTGCTCATTTGTTTTCATGTTTTTTTTTTTTTTTGGTGTGAATTCTGCTGACATTCAAAGCAAAAACAAAACAAAACCCACATAAGACAAAACAATATCAACAAAACCCTCAGCAGCTCCCTTCTGAGTGTCTTGGTTTACAAAGCCTGAGAACATGTTTTCATTTCAAAGCTAGTTAGATATCACCATGGTTAATTTGCCTCATGAATGGCCATGATCTTCCTCATCACTCAGGGAGGCTTACCTTGGGCAGAATGTCTAGGTACATTCTGATGTGGTATATGATTATGAAAATCAGCTTCCTCATTCCTGGCTTTGTAGGGCGATTCCCCTCTGCTCCAATAAGAGGATTTCAGAGTGCAACCACAGTTATTACCGGCCACAGATTAAGGGGATATTCTCACAGAGTGTTTTGTTAGGGAGTCACTCCTAGTTCAAGATAAAGTGAATAAACAGAAGCACATTTGAAGTGCTCTGTGCTACCCGTGTGCTCTGGACCTCTGACCCCTCCTGCTGCCAATCATCTTTAAGGGACAGATTGAAGTCAGCCCTGCCAGCGTGTTCTTTGCTCTTTCCTGCATATCTTGCGCTGTCCTCCACTTAGGTTGGTAGTTTAGACTTTCACTCTCAATTTCTGCTTAAAATGCTACCCCTACTAATAGGAAAAGTTTTGGGTTGGAGAGATGGATCAGTGCTGAGAGCATGTACTGCTCTTACCGAGGTCCTGAGTTTAGTTCTCAGCTCTCACATTACCTGGGAGGGATTCAGCTTCATAACTTCAGCTCCACGGGACCCGATTCCCTTTCTTGGCTTTGGCAGGCATCTGCACTCATATACACACCCCCACTTCTGCATAGACATAATTAAAATCTTAAAAAGTTTCAGTTATTTTAATTATCCACATGCTACAACCACCACTATGTTCTGTTTTTTTTCAGTCTAAAGTATTTTTAAGTTCTTAATGATCATTTTCCCTCTCTGCTGCTGTCTGTTCTGTGTTCATCATCTGTGCTGCCTCAACTTCCAGCTTCCTAGGTTTCTTTTCACCCTTGTCTTTTAAAATTTGTCCCTTCTAGTTTCTCAGATACTCTGACTGACCAAGGATTCAGGCTTTTTTGAGTAGCTAAATCCTCCTGCTTCATCCAAAGCAGCTTCGTAGGTGGGAGTGGAAATGCAACATGGAATTAAT